TAGCTAGGCCTTTAGAGAATAATGATTTCAGACCGGTTGCATTAACATCTGTGATTATGAAATGTGTTGAAAAGTGTGTTGTATCTATGTTGAAAGCAGAGGTTGCTAGTAATCTAGATCCCTTACAGTTTGCCTATAGACAAGGGAGAGGAACTGAAGATGCTATTAACAGCATTGTGCACTTGATTTTGAAGCATTTAGAAGATCTTATGCTAACAATAAACCTTACATAACTAAAGAGATCAAAGACTGTATTAACAGGAATAAACTGGCTTTTCGCAGTCATGATTGTCTTGGAGTGAGAGCTGTTCAGAAGGAGTTGAATGGATTACTAAGAGATGCCAGGACGAAACATAAAGAACTCCTGGAGAAGAAGCTGAGTATGTCTAATCCTAAACAGCTGTGGGACTCTATGAAATCTATAACTAATATGCAGTCTTTCAGAAATACTGTTTCTATTTTTGATGACTTACAGAAAGTGAATGATTTAAATGATTTGTGAAGATTTGAGAAGAATGGGCATATCTCTGGGAATAGTATTATCATCAGATATCATCAAAGATAAGTTATTGATTCATCCGAAACAGATTAATTTCTATTTTAAACATATCTGTTCAAAGAAATCGGCAGGCCCGGATGGAATTTCTCCCTATATTGTTAAGTGTTGTGCAGATGAATTGACTCCAGCTTGGCTTCCTATATTTCAACAATCTTTGGATTCAGGTATTGTTCCCAGTTTGTGGAAAAGAACATTGATTATACCTGTTCCTAAGATAGCTAGGCCTTTAGAGAACAATGATTTTATACCGGTTGCATTAACATCTGTGATTATGAAATGTTTTGAAAAGTGTGTTGTATCTATGTTGAAAGCAGAGGTTGCTAGTAATCTAGATCCCTTACAGTTTGCCTATAGACAAGGGAGAGGAACTGAAGATGCTATTAACAGCATTATGCACTTGATTTTGAAGCATTTAGAAGATCCTAAAGCTTATGCTCGGTTACTGTTTGTTGATTTTAGCTCCGCTTTTAACACAATTCAACCGCATTTGTTAATTGATAAAATGAAGCAGCTGAGTGTAAACCCATGTATTATTAAGTGGTACTATTATTTTTTTAATAGATAGAACTCAATATGTAAAAGTAAACAATCTTCTTTCATACTACAAAAGAGTAGTAGTACAGGTGTTCCACAAGGCTGTGTCAGTTCACCTATTCTTTTTACACTTTTTACAAATGAATGCTTAAGTAGGCATTCACAAAATTTTATTTTTAAATATTCAGATGACACAGCCATACTAAGTCTACTCCATGTGCATGACAATATTAGCACTATTTACCAGTCAGAAATAAGTCAGTTTGTTGACTGGTGTGATAAAAGCTAATAATAAATACAAAGAAAACGGAAGAGATTGTATTTGATCCAAAATGTATAGGTGACCATCGCCAAGTGGTTATACATGATCATAATACTATTCAGTCACAGACCTATAAGTATTTGGGCGTTTACATAGATACTTCACTTACATGGAAAACACACATTGAATGGGTTTGCACTCGACTACAACAGAGATTGTATTTCTTACGTAGGTTACGTCTCTATGGAGTAAACAAGAATCTTATGCTGCTGTTTTATAATGCATTGTTAGTTATGACAATATGAACTACTTCCCTCTGGTAGAAGATATAGAATCCCAATGTGTAAGTTAAATCGATATAAGAATTCCTTTGTACCTGTATCGGTGCGGTTGTATAACAAGAGTTCATCTTGATTTTACTTAATTTTGTTTTTATATGTTTATTGTATGTCTGCAGCAACATGTAGTCCATAACAATTTTCCTCTTGAGGACAATAAAGTATACTACTACTACTACTTATCAGCAGAAATAAGATATTCCACAACAGCTCGAATCCAAAACCAGGATAAACGCAACAGCTTAACAAACCAGCCAAAGCACAAAGACTGACAATGAAAACAAGATAATGATCAGCTAAACTAGACAAACAAGGGCAACTCAGCAACCGAGGAGACTATGTTAATTTATTTAATTTTATTGTGAGAAATAAAGAAAAAAAAAAAGACTCTTCTAACTCATTTTCAATGTTAATAACTCTGGAAACACGTCGTCACAGTCTGTGAAAAGGATCCATTGGAAGTATGCATATTTCCTACGATATTAGTAGCTGAATATTAGTATACTTTATAAGAAGTGAAATGCATGCATTCTTACCATTCTGCTGACAGTCGGCTGTTGTGCAGTATATTCAACAGCAGATAAGGCACCGCAATCCTTTTATATGCAGAGAAATGACTGTGAAATCCCACCCTCTTTCTTTCATAAACCTGTTACACCTGTTTTTTGTGGGTGTAATAAAATGACTCAGCTGAATATTCAGATTGTTGTTTAGATGAATTCTGCAGTGCCTTTGACTCATGGACAGGTTTATCTTCATTCCTCTGGAAATTAAAGCTCTCTCTCATCAAACATCATAAGAATTTGTATTAAAAAAAATGTATTGTTGGCTATTGCTATAAATATAATTATATCTGGACTTTAATGAGAACTAAATGATATGCAAAATAAGAACGCTTATGATAGAGTCGGCTGTTTGTTTGTTTGGTTTTGTTGTGAGACGGACCAATGTTTTACAGCCGCGTCCAGAATGAAGAGTATATTTATCCATGTCACTCTATATACATACATTTAGGGTGATATTAAATGACGTAAACTGTGATATGAGATTTTGGCCATATTGCCCATAGACATAATCCCGATCATCCTAAATGGCAATTTTTCTTCACTTCAAAAAAAAAAAAACAACAAAATAAAATTCAATCAGTTTATTATATCAACATCAACCATATTCTGGATCCACAGTGACCGCTTGTTAAACTTTTAGGAGCTAACAGTGTGGTTCAGGACAAACAGAGAGACATTGTTCCAGTGATTCTGGAGTTTTGAGCCACATGTCCACAGACCCTCTTCAGCACACTGTGAGTCTGAGCGTCAGCAGTGAGTGTGTTTCTGGATCTGGCAGCACACTGTGAGTCTGAGCGTCAGCAGTGAGTGTGTTTCTGGATCTGGCAGCACACTGTGAGTCTGAGCGTCAGCAGTGAGTGTGTTTCTGGATCTGGCAGCACACTGTGAGTCTGAGCGTCAGCAGTGAGTGTGTTTCTGGATCTGGCTGGCTTTCATGAGTGCTTTGATGGCTCTGGCTCTCATCTCCAGCTCCAGTAACTCCAGCTGCTGAGTCGACGGCTGCTTCGCTGGAGCCCTTTCTTCAGCGGCTGCTTTTTCTGGCGACGCTTCCCTCAGATCTTCGGGCTCAGAGCCAGACGTTGGAGCCAGAATTTCACTCACGCTTCTGTCGATGTCGTGCTGAAGCTCCACTTTGGGCTCGGCACTGGGAGGCAGAGCTTCATCTCCGAGCGCCGCTTCTTCAGCTTCGACCGCTTTATGACCCTCAATGTCACTGTCGTCAATGTCTGCGTTGATGCTGAGAACGTCACTGTCTTCTCCAGAACCTGCGCCGGACACACACACACACCGATATTTCGCTGAGAGACTGGTGATTATTAAACGCAATATCCTGCAAAAGGACAAACATAAGCTACATCTTCAGCACAGGCTGTGATTAGTGATGTTTGCTGGAGCAGGACTCGTTATTATTACACTCGCGGAGCTTCAACAGCCCCGTGAAGCTCATGAACCCGTCTCTCCGTCTCTCTCACCTCCGTGCTGGATCCAGTATTCCTCTTCTTCATCTCTCCATCACTGTGCTCTCCATCACAGGGTCCCCGTTTCTTTTCTTTGTCTCTTTTCTTTCCCTCCTGCATCTCTCCACTGCAGCAGCAGCCGTCGCACACCAATGACGTCACACAACAACCTGTCCAATCAGAGAAGCCGGAAGCAGAGCGTGACACGATTCATTATTTGGAGGATTGTAGTTTTCTACAGTTTCTAATAACATCTTCACTGGTCTGTGTACAACTCAATAAACTGCTTCAGTGTCGATTAATCTAGTTTTGTTTTAATGCGCTACTGAGTTCCTTATATAAGAAAAACATGAGTGAATAAAACAATTCCTTTGAATAAGTTAGCAAATATGACAACTCTACACACTTCAATAGATGCTAATGTTTAGCTTTATCTTTGCAGAGAAAACATTAAAAGGGTTTCTGCAGGATTTTAAGCTCAAATTTAAGACCTGCACAAATACAACGAATAGCACACGAGCGGAGCAGTGTCTATAGTAACATATTAAACTGTAAAATCACTGTAAGAAGCATAACTTACAGTTCAGATACACGATACAAAAACTAAACGTTTTATAAAATGATAAACTTTTTTTTTTTTTTGAGTAATGATGATAGAAACAGGATTGATAAGTAGCCTATAAATCGGAGGATGAGATAAATCAGTATAAGCCTGTTTTATCAGTGTTGTGATAATTATTTTTAAGGCACTCTACGTTTTTTTAAATAAATACTGTAATAAAAAAAGTTCAAAGTAATAGTTGTTTAGTCAGATAAGATAAAGACACCCTTTAAACTTTTCCCAATCAAACAGCAGGAACGAGAGAGAACAGGCATCTTTGTTTATATTGCTGTGTGTAGAACGCTAGCTGCATTTTTAATATTTCATTTTAATGAAATGTAATCTCGTCCCCCGCACTTTATTCGGGCAGCTGTGTTCACGTAGAGCTTTCAAAGACACAGTATGATAGTCTGTGCATGACCTGACGCTTTATTCGTATCCAAAATGAGGAGAAGTGAATATCTGGATGCAGTGTGTGTTTAATTCATCCTCGAAGCCGGAGGGCGCTCTCGAGCAGAAAGCCCAAAACAGACTCATAGAAGGAATAACTCATGACGTGCAGGAAACCCTAATATGAGCAAAAGCATCCGGATCCTGCAGCTGAGCTGAATAACAAGCAGAAGAAACATGAAGACGATAAACACACGATTGTGAAAATATACGGTTTATGTGTGTTTTTCAAA